GGACAGAGGAAGGAAAAATGATTTTGAACAATGAAGAAGAACTGCCGCCATGAATGAAGAAGAATAAGCTCACCAATAATCAGAAAACGAACCCAAAAGGAAGAGATCTTTGCTCACCCAAATCTTTTATACCCACGCGAACTAGAAGCTAAGAGAAAGAAAGATTTTTTTTATACTTGAATCAGCAGCAGAGGCGGACGAACAGCAGCAACTCGGGAACAAAATCACAGCTGAAGCAAACAGATAAGCACAGCATCGATGGCGACTACACGAACGACAGTGTTGGCTTCAGTGGAGGAGGAAGAAGGTAGATTCGGTTGAAAGGCAAAGCAGAATATCGGTTCTCTCAAATCTCTCTCTTTGCTCCAAATTTATCAAGAAAGAAGAAAGAGTTAAAAAAATCTGATGAAACCAATGGCAATTTAGTAATTTTGCATGACCAGAAAAGAAAAAAATTCAACTCTTCTTTTGTACTCTTCTAGATTCGAACTAGGGACCTGATATATGAAGTCTTCCTCAGCTGCCACTAGACCAAGTCTCTAACTTGTTATATTTATCCCAAGAACTAATATAAACACACTTTAAGTAAGTTAACCTATATATTTATTTATTTTAAATTTAGTCAGGGTTATTACAGTAGCACAAATGGGTAGAAGAAAATGCAACCACAGCTGAATAAGGGAACAAAATAACAACATTAAACTAGCCTCCTACCTAAGAATCAATCCTCCGATAGCATCATACCAGCCCTTCATTCATTTATCACTTATGAATGGGAAGGATAAAGGAAGAAGAAGAAACTTCAACAACACAAATAGTGAAGAGAAGCGCAGAGATTGATGATAGTGTGAAGAACCATGGATTCACGACTGGGACTACTAGCAATGGATGATCACAGCCCACTTTTGCAATGTTGGCAACCTGACTCTCACGCACACCAACTACACATATGAGAATAGTAAAAACAGAGCAACAATAGAGAAGACAAGCAAAGACAGAGAAGAATGATGAAGAACTTGGGCATCGCACAGCGACGGTGACCTCACAGCAACTCATCTCTCTCGCTGGTGATAGCAAGGGATGAAGAAGAAAGATTAGAGGTCTGGAGATGGCAGAGGAAACGAAGATAGAGATTGCATCAGAGGTTCCAAACTTCTCTCTCTCTCTCTCTCTCTCACGTTTAGAATGATCGAAGAAGGGAAGAGATATTTCATATTTTGAAAGGAGGGCAATTTGGTAAATTCATGAAGCAAAAAAGCAGAAAAAATAAAACTCTTTTGGCCTTATCAGATTCAAACTCCAGACCAAATGAAAGAAGCTATATGCACATTTTCACTAAACCAATACTCCCTCTAGTCATAATTGTCCCAAAATTAATATAACTACAATTTTAAACACAATAATATAGTTAATTCTTTTTTTTAAAAAAATTTATGGGTTATTCCAAGAGTAGTCTTGGAAGCTTACTAAGTAAGTAAAAAGCATCCCAATAATTTGATAGTATAATCATTTTTTAAATTTTAATTTATATTATATATGTATCTAATGTTGTGGTTTAATCTTGTTATTGACTATTGTATTTGGAAATTCTTACTTCACATTAAATCTTCTGAAAGGAATTGGAATTAAGTTTTTTTTTCAAACGAATGTTTGCAAGTATTATTACTTTAATATAGATTGATTTTATTGCATGGGAAAACGCCTATGATATTGTTTTATGATGACTTCAGTGAGATAAGATAAAATGTTGATTTTGTAAACCTATGTATACTTGATTTGAATTGTGGGATTCAATTAGAACACTGGTTACTAATAGCTGTCCTGTTAGCTCTTGGCCCAATAGTTAAATCTTAGCTAACTTGATATTCGTGAGTACCATATTCACACTTGTTTCATAGGCCTTATGCTTACGCTTGTTATTCACGACTTCCTACTGTGCTTGTTTTGTGGCTTTTGTCACGCTTGTTTTGTAGCTTCTTGCCATGCTTGTTTTGTGGCTTACAGCCACACTTGTTAGTTATTTATCCTCATGAATTGTGTACCCACACTTGTTAGTTATTTATTTTCGTAGACTTTGTGTCCACGCTTGTCAATCATTCTAATTAAGCCCCTTTAAAAATTGGAGTTTTGAAACTTATCATTGGTTCAAAATGATATTTGTTAAATGAATTGTATTTTCTTTACTTAAGAATTCTGAAAAGAGTTACATATATATTTTGAAACATATATTGTAATATGAAAATGAAATTTCAATACTATGTCATCATTATTTAGATTAAGATATATAGAATCATGTGGCTTATGGGGTACGGTATGAGTTTCTAATTTGTTTTCAATTAGATATTTCTGTTAAATTTTGGATTATGTCATTAGTACATATTCTTTTTATTTTTTAATTTTGAATTGAGACTTTATTCACAGAAAAATATTTTGGCCTCAGATAATAGTTGGATTTATATCTCCTATAAATCATTGAGGACTTTATTGTTGACGTAAAGTAAAAGAATTTCTTTGGACAAATCTCAACGTGATCTAAATGTGATCTTATGTATTATTTCTTCTTATAGTCTGCTTCATGTGCTTTTCATATAAGATCTTGACCTGTTATATAAGTGGATTGTTTGTTGAGGAACGAAGCTCCTTGTTGTTGAATGGTTATAAATTTGTTGTTGTAAAAATTTTGGAAGATTTTGTCAATTTTTTTTAGCATATGATTCGTCTTTACCGTTGTGAAAAGCATAGTAAGAATTTCTAATCCTATTATTTAAAAGTTCAAAATATCAAATTAGAAGTTTTTTGAATTAAGCTTAAGGGATATGAGTTTTGTATATATATTTTGTGCCACTCACACCTTATTTTTGAGGCATGACATAATTTGTATGTCCTAAATATGTGATTGAGGAATACTGCCAGTCCTGAATGGGGTGAAGTTCCATCAATGTGTTTTGGAGGCTTATCATTTCATTTTTATAAGAAGGGTTAAATGATATTTTTGTCCTTCAACTCGTATATGAAGGGTTAAATGTCTGACGCGTGGCCTAAGAACATTGTTGAGTAGTTCATAGTTGATTGTTGATCATGGTTGGTGATGATTAGATGGAGGTGACCTCCTCTATTTATAGACAAGCTGTTGATTCCTTTCTCTACCTCGTAACCTGAAACAACTTTCTCTATTCACTGAATGGCATATATTCTCGTACTCTGTTCCTCCTTATTCCTTAACCTTGAGCCTAATCCGAAAGGTAGAAGCAAAGCATCCGCGTAGTTCAAGCAAAGCATCTACTTTCCTTTCTCTTTCTTTTTACGTTTTCCTTTTTGTTATATTCACTCTAGTAGTTGAAGTTGCTGTACTTTTTTCAAAACACGGATCGCAGCATCAAAAATTCCATGTGTTCGAATTAAATACTTTACAAAACGGAAAATTCACTCATGATTAAATTATCCGAATCCTGTATCAATAATCTAGAGTTCACTTGCCATATTTGCAATGGATTAAATTGCTTATATATATGGAGATCGCATTTGCTTTATGATAAGAGTCAGAAATGTGAATATTCAACTGCAATTCCTTTTTAAGCTCTCTGATTCAATATATAAAATAACTTTTCAGAGCATTTATATGACTATATATTATTCGTCTACATTATTCATAGTCATCTGCATACTGAATTGGTTTAGCACGAGTATGATTTATCTAATCTAATAATTATGATAAATTATTTAAAGAGTTTAATCAATTACACGCTTCTATATATGAATAATATACATATATATATATATATACATATATATATATACATATATATATATATATATATATATATATATTGTGTCATATGCTGCTTTATTACAATATTTGCCAAGCCTAACGTTTTTGACTTTTTCCAAACTCTTACCTACAAAACAAACAGAATAGCTAAAGCCTTGTAAGGGTGGCTCTAGCTTGTAAAGTCATATTCATTCCGATGTTGATGTCTCCTGAGAGTGTTTTTTTATTTTAGGAAAATCACATTCAAAAACTACTTAAGAAACTCATTTACAATAACAAGTCCCATTTAAAAGAAAGTAAGTCCTTGTTCCCATTTTAACAATAATCCATTTTATATTAGTCTTGTCTGTGACTAAGTTTCTTGAGGCCCTTGGATGTGATTCTCATTTTTTACCTGAAAACTAAATGATAAATCATACATGTACTGCTGATGCTGTTTCATCTTCTGCATCACTTTGCTGCGCGAAAGCAGACACGACTTGAAGGTACCAAACATAAGAGATAAACTCGCCACCATTTCCAATCTCTTGAGCATGTTTATCTACTCGACAATGGGCAGCACCAAAGTTGATGATCTCCATCCACAAATCCATCAAGAACTTCCACGTTTCTGTCATATTTTGTCGTGCCAACAACTCATTGGCTGTCATGAATGCATCACGGAAAATGGATCGATCTATGCGGGGACTCCTGGCTTCATGCTTTGTATTGTTCGAAACATGTTGAAGTAATGTCTTGTAGGCTTCACGCTCATCTGAGGGAAGGATTAACGTTGGGTGGTTTTTGCAGTATCTAACCGCTTCAAGATACGTGTCTCGAAGGGTAAGCAATCCTGTACCAACTGGCAACATATGACGACGATTCACCAAGAGATAACACATATAATCAGACACCATTTTGCTGTTTCTTGAATGGACGCTGTTCCCCAGACTAACACAATCCCTTGTTTCATCATAGTAGTAGCAAATACTGGTGACAATGTGCCAAAGAAGAATGTTTTGGTGGAATTCCAAAATCTTAAGTCTTGGAATGCGAAATCTCTGAGCTTCAATCAATTCCTTATATAAAGGGGTTGATCTATACTGAGTTGGTGTCGAACCAATTGAATTGTTTCTAGCATTTTCCCATAACATTCTCTTCAAATCTGGGGGGACTAGGATCCAAGATGTATGCGAATACTTCTCCAATTTTGATGGTGAGAAGAAATCACCAAAAGGCTTATTATATGAAAGAAAAAAGGTCAAGAAGTTGCACTGAGCAACTGAATTCCACCTTCTTTTCTTGACATTTCGTTGCTCAAGCCGTTTTATGATCAATAGAAGAAACTTGAATCGATATTTATCATGAGTGACGCGGAGAATGTCAATCGTCCATTCAGAAGAAGTGACCCCCAATACAATTGAAAGGATTTCTGATACGACAGCTGTCAACAATAGCATGTAAGTGATGATGGGATCGAAACCTGGATAATTGCCATGTTTCAGTATGAAAATTGATAGCGTAACAGATGAACGCGACCGCCTCGGTAATCAAAGTGATCAGACGTAAGATGATGCCCCAAAAGGTATGTGTCACAATTGACTTGGTGAAAAACATATCATAGCAGAATCCATGGACAAAATCCATGTAGCTAAAGAAGTCTTCACATGAACAGTTGTAAAAAATGTTCCTCAATTCCCGAACATCATCTCTATCCAACACCACATCTGAGAAGACACTAACAAAACAAGACATGAAACCTTTGAGATGTAGGAGACGCTCCTCGCCTCTAGCTTTCTCTGCTTCTGTAACAGTGAGCCAGGAATGACGACAATGGTTGAGACTAGCAGAGTAAAGGGACCACGTCCTCTCACCATACTTGACGAACCCAGCTCCAAGCATGGGAAGGCTAAGCCATGAAATCCAACTAGTTCTGCTCCAAGACAAAACAATTATGTAGAAAGTCACAGTTGTTCGAACTACCAATCCAACCAAGTGTCTCGACCATAACTCATTGTCTTCTAAAGAATATGCAGTGATTGAGTCTGGACCACCAATGTGCATCAGAAAAAATGGAACCCAGAACGCAGTCATCTCAGGATCACTTCCTCGTCCTTCATCCTGCTTGTTATTATAAAAATCTCCAATCTTACTGGAGATGACACCAAGGGCAAAAGCCGGCACCTTGTCTGCCAAATAGTAAGAACACCAAACTATCCATTCATTGACCTTGTTAGTTCCGTATTTTCTACGATTTCCCAGAAGTGTTAATAAGACCTGTGCTAGAAGGCTAATGAAAACCAGTCCTGGTAGTTCCCATTGGTTCCACCATTCCAACATAGAATCTGGAAGCACTTGAGATAGCCTTCTTCGCGCTTCTATGCCCATCCAAATGTCCATAACTAACCACGCACATAGTATGATATCATTTGGCAAAGGCAAATAAATTATTTATATGATATAATATATAAACTCGATCAATCCAAGTTGTGTGTGTGTGTGTGTGTGTGTTGGTTATGCATGTAATAATCAGTTTGCAAAGCAAGGCACTAGAAAGGTTTATGGGTGTGGGGCAAAAATATATGACAGCATTTGTCAAAGGCAAATAAATTACTTATATGATAGAATATACAAATTCAATCTAAGTTTTATATATATATATATATATATATTTGGGAATGCATTTAATAATCAGCTTGCAAAGCAAACCACTAGAAAGATTGAATTAGAAATTAGCTAACTTACACGGAAATGGAGCCATAATTCTCGCTCCAGTTAGCTAGCTCTCCGCTTGCATGTGGTGTTGAATAAAAAATACCTGCCAATCAACGATGATTTCTTTTTCTTAATGGCAAGGCAAAAATATTAAAGAGGTTGTGAATTATAATAAAATATAATTTCTATATTTTACCGAAAATTGTTTATAAAAATTGTACTTTAAAATACAAATTTTTAAATTAGTATGGCATCTTAACCCCTATGAAATGTATAGAATTGGTAGTGATTCAATGAAAAGCTATAACAAGATTTTACATGCAGATATGTCTACTAAAAGAAATCGAAGAAAACATGAAGTTTTTTGGAGCCTGAAGGTCTACTAAAATTCAGGCAGGCCAGAGTCTCAAGAAGAAGAAGAAGAAATTGATACATAGAAATGGGGGAAGAGACTGAACCAGATTTGGATCTATCGCTGCAAAAGTCACACACACGCCATTGTGGAGTGGTGGACGACACAGGCTAGAGTAACTTTCTCTATTCACTAAATGGTATTCTCACTCTCTCTTCCTGCTTAAGCTTGAGCCAAGTACAAAAGTTAGAAGCAAAGCATCCACGTAATATAAGCAAAGGATCTTCCCTTTTTTTTTTTTCTTTTTCTTTTGTTACATTCACTCTACTTGCAACGTCAAGAATTAAATAATCTAGATTAAGGGTCATTTTTCCCCTTAGACTTTTCATGTAAGTTCTATGATTGTCCTAAATTCAATTTTGGATCATTTTTGTCCTTAAACTTCTAGAATTTGATGTCTCATGTTGCCTTCTGCAAGGGCACGAGTCATAATAAGTAATACAGAGTGAGTAAAGCATCGTTTTCATGAAGATTTGTATTAAAAATATGGTCAAATAAAAAAAATGCAAATTCAATTAAGTTGAGTGAATCCAAAACATGATTGGGGTTTAAAATATAAATTAAATGAATGAAAGAGTATGAAAACATATAAAAGAAATTGATTCAAGGCTTTTTGAAAGTAATTAGCCTTAGGATTATTTATTTCCCTTTATACTTCAAGAATACTCAATCAACCCCCAATATTTTTTGCTCTTAATGATGAATTATGCTAGTCAAGGATACCAAATTACTCACAACTACTCTCTCAAGTCTCCAAGTAGGTGTTTAGTTTAATTAATCTCTTAATCTCTTAATTAACTAATTAAACTTCAATTTTTCTTGCAAATCCTATGTGATTATATAAGAGGTTAATGAGTGTATTACTACCTCATTAACAAAACCATCTATTCAACTTGCAAACTTTAAGTTCTCGTACAATTTTATGCAAGTTCTGCACTCATGCTAGCTCTCTCAAGCATCATTCATGTCATACTCCAAAAATAGAGGGTGACCGATATGAGTGCGAACTACATCGTGCATTCCTATAAGTCTTAAAATGAAAATTCATTCCATTTAAAAAAATTAGATTATATAGAAATTCTAACACTTTTAATACTAATTGTCATAACAAGACTTTAATGTTTTTGTAGAAATTTCGGTAGAACCTCCCCTATAAATAGGATCTCCCAAAAATTCTACAATAAAATTTTCATAGAATACAATATCAATCAGGAGCTTAGATCCTTTCAGCTAGCAACAGTATATAAATCAAAATAAAATTCTAACAACAATCTATATAGAGCAACTAATCTTTTTTTTAAAATAAAAAATATGTACGACTTAAATATTTACATCAAAAAGTAATAGTATCAAACAAAATTTTCACCCAATGTAGTTATATTGCCCTTCAGAGATTGGTGGTGGGATTAACGTCAGCTAACAAATCTGAGACTAAAATAAGTTTTTTAGTGAATAGCATTTTCAAAGTAGAATTCTAAAAAAAAATTAAAATAATAAACTCAAATAATGGTGTAAACTAATTAAAAAGGATGATAATTCAACTCTAGGTATGTAAATCACAACCATAATTGTAAAATGAGAGTAAATTGGAAGCAAATTATTTTATCATGCTTAAAGAAAATAATTTATTTATACATAAATCAAAATGATATACTTGTTATCCAAAACTATTGAAATTTCAAAAACACATATTAGTCAAAATCTAGAATTTTGAAAACTCAACAGAACATGTAACAAATGTGAATACACAGTTCACGAAGGTAAATAACCAAATGCGACTTGTGCCACGAAGACAAACATGAACACACAGTCTACGAGGATAAATAACCAAACGCAGTTGAAATCACGAAACAAACATGGACACACAATCCACGATAGCAATACTAACCAAACATAACTCAAGGCCACGAAATCAAACACGAGTATAAAGCTCACAAATAACAAACATGAGAACAAAGCCCACGAGACAAATTAGCTAGTTTTTAACCAAAGCACTATGGGCTAATGGAACTACCATTAGCAGCAGTGTTCTATTTAGAGTCATCTTAAAAATTAGTTTCAAATATGCGAGAAAAATAATTACTTCTAAAATACAGTTTATATTTTCAATATCCAATTCACATGAATCATTTTAAATTCTAATTTAATACTTTTCAAAAATAATATTTCATAAATAATGTGCAAGTTTGCATTAATTGAATAACCAAGAACTTTCAGAGTTTAATGAATAAAAATAATTTTCATAATTATTCAAATTAGATTTCTTGAGGAAATAAATGCATATAGCATCATCTAATTATCCATCACCACTATTCCATAATTTTCAAAACTAATGTCATTCGTGAGAGTAAAATATTTTAGTAAAAGTCTATTAAGAATAAAAATATATTAAAGGAGATGTTATTCACTTACATGTCAAAGTTCAAAATTTTCAAAAGTATTATTCCTTTAATTCTTGTCAAGGTCTTATTCTTCCACCCACCCTATCAGAATATAAATAAATAAAATTTTAATAGATTTCCAATCTTTAAAAAAATTCCAAATTAACCATTATCATCTAAATTTCAAAACTAAATTTATGATTTAAAGTTAGTCCAAGCATTATCATTCATCCTTATAACTTCCTCCATAAAGCTTTAGCCATGCCATTCCATTTTTTTAAGGTAAAATTTTCTATTAAGTATTTTATCAAACAATATTCAGGCATAATTTATTAAGCTAATATTAATATTTTCTTCCTAAATTTCAACTTCTCTAAAACCTTACAATATCACTAATTCAATCATTTTCAAATGGAACTCCAATCTGCAATATCATCTTCCTTCCTTGTACAGCCACAATATCCATTTAAATTAAAATTCTCCTTTCTATGCATGCACTTGTAGTCACAGGGGAGATGAATTTCTGAAACTTCAACCTTCAAACCACATTTATCATGTATTATTACCAGGTTCAGACGGATTTCAAGCTTAAAGTTTCAATCTTCTCCTCTCTATAACAGCATAGGCGATGGCAAAACAAAAATAAAGTGCTGCAACTACACACACAGAGCAGCAATAGCAGCACACGCACACTCACACATACAGTTGACCCATAAATGGAAAGTCCAAAGTTCCTTACCTCAACTTGGGTAGCCCAGACAGCGCCAGACAACAGAGAAGATATCTTGAATGCTGAATAGAGGAGAGAGCCCAACGCTACCCACGTTATGGGAAGAAGAAGAACAAAACTTATAGCAAATAGGGGAGAGGGAACTGGACACTACTCGGAAGAAACCACAGCAACCGAATCAACAGCAACAACCCAAGCGCACAACAGCACCACCGCAGCTTCGGCAACTTGGCCTCTCATCCCAGCGGCCACTCAAAGGTGACAACATAGACCGAGTCAAAGATGGAGAAAGAGAACAAAAACAGAGAGCATGGAAGGAACGAACCAGCACAGCAACGAGCTTCACTCTCACCGGCGACCACTAGAGACACGAAGGAGAAGAAGAGTCAGTGAGCGCTGGAACGAGAAGGAAGAGATGCAGCGATCAGATGAGACAATGAAGGGAAGAGAAATCAGAGCCCCCCTCTCTCTCACGTGTGATCTGGAATAATCCAAGAGGGAAGGGGAGTTTTTTTTTTTTTTTAAAGATATGAAGAGGGCAGTTCTGCAATTTCACAAGGCAAATGAGTAGGAAAAAATGAAACTCCTTATAGGCTTGCTCAAATTCGAACTTGGGACCAAGTGAAAGCATATCAACATAGCTACCATTGCATCAGCACACCTAAAGCTCTTAAATATTCCCAAGAAGTCCAAAATGACAACCAAAGTTGATAATGGGTCATATATACTTCAAAACCCCAACTTTATCAACTAAATAAAATGTTTTATTTTTTTTTGTCACGAACAAAGTCACAACTTTGAATGACTTTGCTCCGTTTTGCACTGTTCTCTTAATTAACAAAATTTATCATGTTTGCAATTGATTTCTTCTTTCAAAAGTATCATTAAGAGTCTAGAAATGCATCCAACTAAACTTAAAACTAAAATATCAATAAGTTATCTTCAAAACACTAAAATAGAGCCATGGTTTGAATTTTTAAAACAATATGCATATTTTTATAACTTAAGTGTTCAAAATAAGTAAAATTGTGCCAAAATATGTTAAAATCTAAAGAAAAAATGATCAAATGATATAAAATTCTATAAGTTAGCATCTCATTATTCTATCATTCATGTGTTGCTTGTTGACTATTATTTGCTTAGCTACACATGTTTTGTTGACACTTTTTTGGACGATGTGGTAGCCAAGTAGTTGGGTTTTAGTTTAGACATGTGTAGTTAGGTTTTTCAATGTTTAAGCTGGAAAATAATCCAAAAAATTGAATTCAAGATATCAAGTGTCTCTAAATGAATACTTTGAGGTGTTAAATTTTGACTAGGCATCCATTTGAATATCACTTGGCATAAAAAAGTTAACAAAACACATCTACCTAAGCAAATAACAGTTAACAAGTGGTGCGTGAATGGCAAAACAATGAAATGTTGAATTTTTAAAGTTCAAGTGCAAAAATAAACCAAAATTAAGTTCAGGGTAAAATGATATTTAACCCAAATACTTTCCAAAACAAAAATTTCACAATAACTAATTATTGCGGAATGTGGGCTATTCACGTCTTCCTCCACATGGACTTAAACTCTATATTGATTGTGGGCTTAGGTTTCAAATAATCCCAGCGTTCTGCCTCAATCATATCGGCCCAAGAACGTGTGATTGACCCAATAGACTCTAATGGCGTTAGGCCCTTTATAATTACCATAATGCACACCACTTTATAATCAATCTCCGTTTGCTTTGGCTACTGAACTTTGTTCAAATTAAAGAATTCGTATGCGTTGCACTATTTATCCTTTTTAGATAAAAATGAAAAGATAATAAAATTTTTAATTCTTTAAATTTATTTCAATTATCAATTGATAAATTATTTGTATTCATTATTGATTTGTTTTTTATTATTTAAAATGGAGGTAATAGAGTTAAAATATACTAACATAGATAAAAAAATATTGATAATAACCACGCCTTACGTTTAAAAATGTATGATATTTTTTGAGGGGTTAGATATTTAAAAATATAAAATATTTTTAGTATTTCAAGGTGAAATTCTCTATTAAATATAAATCATTTTATATTTATTTCAGAGTAAAATACTCTATAAAATAGGGGTGTATATGAAAAAAATAGTAATAGTTTACAAACAAGTATATATTTATTAATTTATTGAAGGGTGAGATTAGATTAAAAAAGTTTTATATTTTTGAATGAAGAGAATGTGTAGATTAAAAAAAATATATAATATATAGGTAGGAAAAAATAAACTCAAGAATTAAAAAAAAAAGAATAAAATGTAACATAAGGGACTAACTTGATTAAAAATAACTAATTTGAGGACTAATTTTTTTTTTTTAACTCTTTTTGAGTATTTGAGGAAATATACCATTCCTCAAAGGAGAAGTACAAAAGCAACACTGGCTTACAGAACAAAGACCGCTAAGGGGCTGTACAAAAGCAATTAGCTCAATTAAGTAAAGAAGAAGAAACACGAGAAGCTTTAGCAGCATGATCAGCGATGGCAAGTGTTAAAACTTCATTAACTAGCCTGTGCACAGTGAAGAAAGCATTAGCAAACAACCTCTAGTTTCTGCTAGCATCCCAAAGCTTCCAACAAAGGAGACGGAAGCAGATTCTCCAAGGTTGTCCTGACTATGGGGATTAAGGTTATACACGAACTACCTCTCCAGGGGAAGATGAAAGAAAGTTGAAAAATCAGATTCACGAAACCAGTAAATGCCAGCAATTTCGAGCTATATCATAGTCATGAAGGATATGCAAGAGGGTCTCAGGTGAAGAATCACAGAGATCAGTTTTTATGACATGTCTTCTAACTCTCTCACAGTGGGTTAGTAATGTATACTTCAAAGCTAGCCAGAAAAACTGACTCTTTGAGTCCCCGACCACAGCCAAGCTAGCTTTTCAAAAAGGGTCATTCTCATCAATAATCAGACATCTTAAGCTAATATGCTGACTTTACTGTACAAGCGCCATTTTAATTTAGAAAAAGCCCAGCAACACTGAGCCTCGAGGAGAGAGAGGGATGAGGTGTCACGCCTTAAAAATAGAGGCTAACCAACACAGGTGTGAACCATTCACACATTCCCATAAGCCTCAAAATGAAAATTTATTCTATTTTTCAAAAGAAAAGAAAAAATTAAATTAAATTACATGAGAATTAAAATAATTCCTTTAAGCTCATCATCATAAGAAAGTGTCAACGTTTTTGTAGAAATTTTGGCAGAACCTCTCCTGGAACTAGGATCCCCCGAAAATTTCACAAATTTTTTTTTTACAAATAACAGTATCAAGATTGCCAGCAACCAATATACAATCCAAAATAAAGTCTATCAACAATCTATGTGGAGCATTTACTCTTTATATATTTACATTGAAAGCAACAATACCAATCAAAATTTTCACCCACTGTAGCTAGTTTGCCCTTCAGAGGTCAAGGGGAATCAGCGTCATGCTAACAAATTTGAGGCCAAAATAAGTTTTTCAGTGAATAGTATTCCCATGGAAAAATTCTTAAAATTTAAATCAATAAACTCTAATAATGGTGTCAACTAATTAAAAATAACTCCACAAAAATTTATAAGCTTATAAGTCATAACTATAATTGTAAAATATAAGTAAGTTAAAAACAATTTATGTTATCATGCTTAAAGAAAACAATTTACTCACATATAACTCAAAGTGGTAAAATTGCTAGCCAAAATTATGTAAATTTTGAAAACACATTAATCAACATTTAAAATTTTGAAAACTCAACAGAACAGGTTACAAATGTGAACACATAGTCCACGAGGGTAAATAAAAAAATGCGGCTTATGTCATGAAAACAAACATGAACACACTAGTCCACAAGGGTAAATAACTAAATGCAACCGAAGCTACGAAACAAATGTGGACACACAGTCTATTAGGGTAAATAACCAAATGCGCCTCAGGCCACGAAATCAAACACGGGTACAAAGCCTACGAATACCAAACGTGAGAACAAAGCTCACGAAACAAACTATCTAGTATTTAACTACAACACGCCATGGGCTAACGGAACTGTCGTTAGCAGCAGTGTTCTATTTAGAGTCCTCTCAAAAACTACGTTTCAAACATGCGAAAAGAATAATTATTTCTGAAATACAATCTACATTTTTAATACCAAACTCGCATGCATCATCTGAATTTTCAATTTAAGACATGTTGAAAATAGTCTTTCATAAAATAATATACAAGCTTGCATTATCTAAATAATCAAGGATTTCAAGAGTTTACTAAGCCAAATAATTTCATAAATCTTTGAAACATATTCCTTGAGGAAATAAATGCATATATCATTCTTTAACCATCTCGCGTCGATATTTTTAAGTTTCAAAACTAATGTAATTCCCAAGAATAAAATATCTCAATGAAAATCTATTAAAAATAAAAGTATAAATAAAAATAAATTAAAGGGAATGCTATTCACTTACCTGAAATATCTGAAATTTAAATTTCTCCCCTCATCTTTAATCAAATTTCTTCCCTTCCAAATTCCTTATAAATCATATTAAAACTTTCTTTAACTCTCAACCAGTATAATAATTTCTTTTTCCAAGCTCACTCACCACCAATATTAAATTATAATACATTTGATTTTTTTTAAAAAACCTCACTAGCATTTGGTCAAGGCACCAAACATAAATCATTTTCAATCTCATAAAAATGCTAGCATTCAATATTTCCTCCACAACTATCCATCTTCAAAAATTTAAAAAAAAATCAAATTATAAATTTCATAGACAAATATTCTTTGCAACATCTGAATTGAATTTCATATTTCCCACAAGAATTAATGAATCTCTATAAATATTCAAAAACCAAGTTCAATTTCTGCTAATAATCACTTCAACAACCATCTTACAGCCATCATTTTGCAAGTTGCATATCTCATCTCTTCTAACATAATCCTAACTAATTCTTCATTATCAACCAATTTAAACAAAATGAATTTAACTCAAACGTTAGCCCATACATATATCATTACCAAGCTTTAAGTCACATTTTTTTTCAGCTCAAATTTGCACCTTCTTCTTCCTACAATGCATAGACAACAACAACAAAACAAAAAGAATAATGCTACACCCATACACATAGATCAACAACAG